CATGGGCAGAGCAGAGAGACCAAGAAGGGGCATACCTGCGGATCAGTGTAGAGATATAAGAGGGACTAGAATTGGTCAGTGCGTTATAGGTGTGGATTAGTACCTTAAATTGACTCCTATAGGATACAGGAAGCCAATGTAAGGACTGAAAGAGGTTAGAGGTGTGAGAGGAGCGACAGAAGAGGAAAAAATCAATATAGCTGCAGAATTCATTACAGACTGACAACCAGAACACCAATGGTTGCAAATAGGCATTTGCAAATAATTAAATCAATGAATTAATTCAGATGTTCACTCAGGGATCCAGTGCCCAAAATTATAGGGCTGCCCAAGGGAACCAAAGTCAGCTTATAGAGCTATAGGAAACATTATACCTTTAAATACTCTGCAGTTGATGAGAAGCCTCATCAATTAAATAAATCAATCACTAATTTTGTTGAGAACAACCACACAACCACCCTTGTCTGTCTGACGTACAACAATTTAGGTTCATGCTTCAACTCTTTGATGACCCTGTATTCATATCTGTACAAATAGTTTTTACTCAGTTGTTTTGTTTGATTAAGTGAATAGGTGGCTAAACAACATAAGAGTAATTTTTACCCTGTACAGTCAAGAGGTAAAACGATTGAATTGCATCACTCACTTGTTGAAAATAATATATTTCTAAGTGTGTCAAAAAAAGAGTTGTTAATATAGTTCTTATTTTTTACCTGTAGAGCTTCATGCTTGCTGTCAAGAGATAGTGATTCTAATTTAAATTGACCCAACTCATCTGAGAACAATACTGGCCTACCAGACAGGACTTGATTGTTAGAATAATTTTCACTGTCAACCTCCTCACAATCTGACCGGATGAAAGGGCCAGAAAGAGTCAGTTTCCTGACAAAACGTTAACATCAACTACAGTGTGAAATAAAGAGAAGTCATGAGATGGTGTAAGGTTCAGATCTTTTTTAAGTACTCCAATTTGAGAGTCAGTAAGAGTTTTAGTAGTCAGACTTAGTACTGTCTGCGAGTTCTCCGATTCGAACATAGTGAATAACCTTTTTTTATTTTGTGAGGTCTGCTGCCATGGTAGCTCCATCTGCATCTCACATTTTTTTTGTCTTATCTGAATAGATTAATCCAGAGCCACTAGACAAATCATATGTTCTCTGGATGATAGAGAACAAGTGCTCATATCAAAATTTGTAGTTTCAGATTCAGTGTCACTAAAGTACATATTCTTTTGCTAGACTTGTTTTTTATGATGAATTTCACCTTTTTGTTATTTCTCTTATTTCTTCTATGATTAGATGGACATGGCAAAACATATACTTGAAATTGCACAGAATCTTCTTTATCGCGTTTAGATTTACAGGCTTTACGATCTGACATGACATTGTTTAAGCAATTTGCCCGATACTGGATGTCAGTTTGTAATTTAGAAATTAAAATCAGGAAACAAAGTTACAACATTTTGGTTTAAAGTCTGAATGGTCTCAATGTTTTCATCATACAACCCCTTACGGACAGATGACGGAAATATTCCGTCGTGATTCCCTTTTATTCCAGAAGTTGTGTCCTTAAGGGGTTAAGGATAGGGAATAAAGTGAGAGTTTTATTCCAATCATCCTGAAATGGCACATCATCTCTGATGTCACTTGGAAATGTCTTGATATTCAAACTCTGCGTAACAATGCTTTGTGCTAGATAATTTTCAAATGATTTAATCTTCCACCACGACATTAGTTCCAGAAAGTTAGTTGTTTGAATAGTGATTTAATGTCAGAATTGGAAGGGGTTACAACACCAGAATCATTGGTTGAAAAAGACATATCAGCACAGATTAATTCTCACCACAGGTGAGGTTTCTCTGTCCATAGACAACAAAACCTAAACTATTGGTGTACTTTAAGGGCTGGGTTAGGCACCTTTGCCTTAAGTACAGTGGTTAACCCATTGCTAAGATGTTAACCCATACATGGGGTGCCTTACATTATATCCAGAACATGTTTCTTTTGTTATGAAGCTGGCAAGATTTCCCCTCTGTAACGATTAATATCATCAAATATCTGTTAATATTCTATCTAGAGAGGTTTTGAAGACTGTCAACCAGATATGATTTACTTAGGAAAAACAATGGTTAGATTATTTAAGTCACACTGATACACTTCCCATTAACAAATGTAAGAGTATGATTAATGTGTTATATTGCTGGCCTTTTTGACATTTGCACACCATTTACAGAAGTAAGCTTTTATAAAACACTGAAAATCACCTGTTAATGGTGTCTACCTTTTTTTCATCAGATGCTCTGTTTTGTTTTAAATTTATAATAAATATTTAGAAAATCATAATCCAGTTCAGACAAACATAGCAAGGGCAAACATTGCAAAAGAAGTGGGGAAATTGACACATTGTTTAAAGGGACACTATAGTCACCAGAACAACTACAGCTTAATATAATGGTTCCGGTGTCTACAGCCTATCCCTGCAGGCATTTTAATGTAAACACTGCATAGTCAGAGAAAAGACAGTGTTTAAATTGTTTACATCACTAAGACGGCCACTAGAAGAGATTCCTATGCAGCACTGATGTTCAGCATCTCCACGCTCTGCATCAACATCTGATTCAATGCATCTCTATGAGGAAATGTTTATTGGCGCAGGGTGGCGTTTTGTTGCACATGTGCATTAGCCTCCCAATGCTTCATCAATGCACGTTTGTATTCCTGATGACATAGTGTTTCTTTAATATCTCCTTTTTCTGCATGTTTTCTCTATGCCGATTACCAGGTGCAAAGGTCAGAACTTAATAACTGACTGGGAGCTAATATGGTGACGCCCTGTTGTAGGATAAAAAGTCGTGTATTTTCACCTTTAACTTTATTTTTCGCTCCTCACAAATGCATATTTGGTAAATATAGAGATCATTAATCATACTTTCTAAAATCCAAGGTAATGACACATTTTACTTAACATATCTTGGCAATACAGCAATGTTTGGCTAGCAATTTAAGCCTAGGATAAAATCTGTCTTCTGAAAAGATACATTTTTCTCTCAGTATACATGAGGATGCAGTATCCATTTATCTTTAAAGTTAAGTTGATTTGAAGATGATATCCCATTTCTGCTATCATAACTTAGCAGCTGGAAAATGGTAGCTCTTTGATATAATCCTTAAGGATGTCATCACTGTTAAGTGATAAAGAGTAAAGGTGACAGCATACAGCTGTGACACACCTAATTGTATTTCAAAACTGATATCAGATACCTATCTCACTACACTCTGTTTTTTTATGTATGCTTTAATAATGCAGCTTACAAATCACAGCATGGGTCATTGTATAGAAAGAAAATACACTAGCAAACTGGATTTCGACATGTTCGTTTATGTGCTCACGGTTTGATACTTCAGACAGGACATAAAAAAAATCAATGTGAACTTCAGTGTACATTTAAAATATAGTATATATATATATATATATATATATATACATATATGTATATATACATACATACATAAGACATAAAATATTAGCTGTATGCCGAATCTCTTTATTTGGCACTATTGCCTTTGGCACTTCCCATACCCCTAGTGGTTGTCATCGAGAGAAAAAGAGAAGCCTTTTATTGATGGATTGCTGTGATTTTAACATGTGAATATGTTCATAATTAATCTCTGTGAAAAACATTTGATTGGACAAAAGTCATCATGCTAGATGACTTAACAATAGGTGGATTGAGAGTGTTTAGTCTTTCTCATCGCTTTCTTACAGTTACGTTTTATGGCATGGAAGGGCAGGCAAGGAGGATACTGGTTTCAGCCGCAAACAATTCCTTTGAAAATTTAAATAGCAGATAGTATGTTTAGGAATGTCGTGGGTTGTTATCCTAACTGACATAAAATGGGGAATCCCACAAATAGAGGTACTAAATAGACGTATTACTTTGTGTGTCCGGACTTAATGTTAATAAAGTTAGAGACATACTCAGTAATAGCACGTCAGGATTATAGAAATATGAATGTACAAATAAACAAAGTGGGGTCAAGATTCCAGAAATACTCGAAGTCAGAAACAAGCCTGGTCAGGATACCAGAAATACACAAAGTCAAATACAAGCCAAGGTAAATATCAGAATATAAGGAGAGACTTACTATAAGCACTAAACATGTATCAGGGCAGAAACCATGAAAGGGCACTGAATAATGGCCCAAACAAGCATTATATAGGCTTACAAATGTTCTGATTAGTCCACGTTATCTTTGCAACTCCAAAAAGTGTGAGAATGGGGTTGACTTTATGACGTGGTCACTTTAAAGGCGGGTGTGACGTCACGTCCATTCAAACTACATAAGGACGTGCCATTCTATGTGGCATCATCCGACTTAATGCAAGAAAGTATCATCTGTCTGTTGAATTCGAACCTGGAGGAGGAGTAGTGCACCTGCGTCTGTGCCAAATTAATAAGTAAATTGAATTTTTTTCCAATTTTCAAGCCACATGGTCGCATGGAGTGCTTGGCCCGCAGGACCCAAAGAGGGAAGTAGTTCATTGTGGAGCAGGTAAGTATAGTTACAGAAAAGTCTTGTTTACGCAGTGCAAAAGAAAGAGTCATCAGCCAGACATTGTGCAGAGACTTTGTTAGCTCAGCATTTTGTTGTTTTGTGCATGGGCTGGTGGTCGTCAATCCCAGTGGACTGCAGTATCTGAAGTTAACACTTAAGGCAGATGATAATAAATATATATAATGTCCCTGAATGTGTTGGACACAGACTCTGTGTTAGGCATGCACAGATCTTTTTCTGTTAATGCTCCTTCACACTGAGCAGACGATACTGATGAAAGCTGCAGGGATATATGATGACACACCTTGTAAATTCAGGAGCATCCATCTGTCAAATATAGGAACATACAGACTGATATTTGTGAGTTAAAGGACCACTCTAGGCACCCAGACCACTTCAGCTTAATGAAGTGGTCTGGGTGCCAGGTCCAGCTAGGGTTAATGGGTTAAGCCTTCCCCCTAATCCTCTAGTGGCTGTCTCATTGACAGCCACTAGAGGCGCTTGCGTGCTTCTCACTGTGAAAATCACAGTGAGAGCACGCAAGCGTCCATATGAAAGCATTGTAAATGCTTTCCTATGCGACGGGCTGAAGGCGCGCGCAGCTCTCGCCGCGCGTGCGCATTCAGCCCAGGAGGAGGAACGGAGGAGGAACGGAGGAGGAGAGAAGGAGGAGAGCTCTCCGCCCAGCGCTGGAAAAAGGTAAATTTAAACCCCTTTCCCCTTTCCAGAGCAGGGCGGGAGGGGGTCCCTGAGGGTGGGGGCACCCTCAGGGCACTATAGTGCCAGGAAACTATAGTGGTCCTTTAAGCAAACAAAAAAGGCCATATGTTTGAATGTGTCCCCAGAACAAAAATATTTACCTTCCCTGTATATCATTTATTTTTTTTTTAAAAGGGGCACAAATCTAAACGTAAAAAAACAGGCTTAAAAAAATCTTAGTGTATGAAAAAACAAATAAGCTTAGGCGTTGGAAAACCTAGTCCAGCAAACTAAGCTTAAATCTGGAATAATAATAATAATATAGATGAAGATAATTATGTCTTATACATTCCTCTTCAAAATGTTAACCTAAGTTGTAGTGAACCAAAAAACCTCTAAATAGTGTTTCCAACCGAAGTACAGGTCCTTTCTAAGGGAATGTCGTTCATCCCTATACCCAAATTTGACAAGTTTGGCTGGACCAAAGACATTCACCTTTTTGCTCGAAAATTGGCCCTTCATAAATTTCATTGTATTCAAAAAGCTAAAAGAGCAACTAAACTGGGGCTCGATACTCATGATATGGACCTCTTAGACAATCTGGTTGACCTTCTTACTAGTAATGATTCTAGCGACACACTAGTAGCTCCAATGATGACTTTTAAACCTAAAAGTAAATTCACTCCACACATTCCAGAATTCAAATATATTGAATCTTTTGTTTAGTTAACTTGCAAGGAGATAGAAACATTAAATATGGACTCTGTAACGCTATCAGAAAAGGATAATCTGAGCCCACTTGAAAGGAAAGCATTATCAACTCTTAAAACAAACGAAAAAATTATCATTAAACCATCCGATAAAGGAGGCAACATAGTGGTGATGGACAGGAGTGACTATATCCAAATGGTTCATAGAATTCTGGATGATAAAGATACATATACCATCTTGAGCTCAGACCCAACACCAAGATTTTTAAAAGAACTCTGTACCATTTTGGATACAGCACTTTACTCAAAGCTGATTACTAACGATGAATATAAATATCTATGCAACAAAAAGCCCACATTAGCAACCTTTTATGCTCTACCAAAAATTCACAAGCAACAACCCATCCTGTCTGGAAGACCAATAGTTTCAGGAAGAAACAATCTCACTCAGAACTGTAGCGAATATGTGGAGTTTATCCTCAGAGATTTAGTGAAAAATCTACCATCACACTTGAGAGATACAAAACAGACTCTCAACATCCTTAAGGACACAATATTACCAAGAGAGGCTAAGCTTTGTAGCCTGGATGTAGAAGGATTGTATAGCTCTATTCCCCATGAAATTGGGATTAAACATGTGAAATGGTTTTTGGAAAATAAAAGATCGAACTTCAAAGAACATAATAATTTTATTCTCCAACTGTTGCACTTCATCCTTACGCACAACTATTTTCTTTTCGAGGGTGTCTATTACCATCAGATGAGGGGGACAGCGATGGGGACAACTTGTGCCCCTTCGTATGCCAACCTACATCTTGGATGGTGGGAACACAATATGGTTTTTGGCCCACAACTGGCCCACTACATGGAGTTTATTTGTGTTTGGAAACGTTATATTGATGACGTACTGATAGTATGGACAGGTACAACAGAACTTTTCATCAAATTTGTGGCTGAACTCAATAAAAATACCATCAATCTAGGATTTACATATGAGTTTGCAGGTGATAAAATCAACTTTCTGGACGTCACATTGAATATCAACGAACACAAACGGCTCTCTACGACACTCTATAGAAAACCCACTGCTACAAATAATTTTTTAAACTGGGATAGCTACCATCCTCCAACAATGAAGAGAGGGATACCAGTGGGCCAATATCTAAGACTTAGGAGGAATTGCTCATCGCTTGATGAATTTAAGCTTAAAGCACAAACCTTACGGACCCAATTTAAATCGAAGGGATTTCCGAATAAATGTCTCAAAAAAGCGTATCAAAGAGCCCTCCTTACAGACAGATCAGAATTACTATCAGAAAAAGTTCCAGTGACAAATAACAAAGTCATACGTTGTATTGGAACATTTGATTCAGGGTGGAATCTTGCTAAAAAAACCTTGGAAAGATTTTGGCCTCTCCTATATCAAGATCAAGACTTACGGGAGGTCTTGACCCCCTATGTATCTTTAACAGCCAGGAGAGGTAGAAATCTTAAGGATATCTTGGTACCTAGTCATCTTGCCCCTATTCCGACATCTCCTACATGGTTGAAATCTTTAGCAATAGGCACTTTTCAATGTGGACATTGCAAGGCGTGTAAATATATAAATAAACAATCTAAAATATTCTCCAATTCAACCAACACTGAAATACACACAGTGAAAACTTTTTTCAATTGCAAAACATTCGGAATTGTCTATCTCATGACATGCAGCTGTGATAAGAAATATGTGGGGAAAACTTTTAGACCTCTTAAAGTACGAATTTTAGAACACGTTAACTCAGCAAATCCAACTAGACACATTGATACTCCAATTTCACGCCACCTTAAACTGAAACATAACGGATCAGCGCAAGGTCTACGGTTTAGTGGCATTGAGAGAGTGAAATTAGGCCCCAGAAAAGGGGACATTGATAGAATACTCCTCAAACGTGAATGTTATTGGATTTACAAATTGAAAACATTATCTCCTTGGGGCCTAAATGAAGGTTTTTCCTATACACCGTTTATCTCTGATTAATTTTCAACCAGTCCATTGCATAATTTTAATAATATTAATTATTAAGTGCTATTTTATTTAATTTTATTATTTCTTACATATTGTATATTATTACCTTTACTTCATTTTTGTTTTCCTAGTTATATCTCACTACCACAGTTAAGTACTTGTATTCTATATTATCTACAGTCCCCCCTGCCTTCACAATCATTATTCTAAACGTCTAAAAATTTAATGGCTAACCGACATAATCGGTAATCTATTTTTCTCAAAGAGTGGGTTCGGATACTTCATATTAGTGCAATTTTTGTCTGATGTGAGTATTTGATGTTCGGATACCTTATAATATCAAGTCAAGAGAATTTAGTTATTATCAGCTATGAAGAATAGATTAAACTAAACTAAATTACAGCGATATATTAGTTATCAAGCCGAGGGTGTATAGGTATCGGCACCACTTTTAAATATCAGAATTGCAACTTATATCACGGTTTTTTATCTCTACTAACATTCAATTAAGTAACAAAGAGGTTTCCTTTACATATTACATCAGATAAGAGACTTCAATGTCACCATCTCTTGTTAGTGTGGTGATTAACAGCTTTCGCTTTTATATTTTAACATCATTGTTGCCGTCTCTGGTTCCGTTGGGATGTAGCACAGATCTACATTTATAACATCAAAGCTTTAGAAATAAGTCGTTAGGTACATCTACGTTTGTATTCTAGCTTTTCGTATCATTATCATATAGTCGACGAATTTGACTCAATTTGATATAGAGAATAAAATATCTCTGAACAGCTTAGCAGCCCTCATAATAGTACAATTATATTTCTGCCTGACTTCTTAGCTTTAACGCTAATTGTATCATAGTTTAGTTGATTGTTTATATCATAATAAGATATTAATAATACTAGTCCTTACATAGCTGATTAAAACTGTGGCACTTGGTATCAAATATAATGAAAATAACAGCAATAATTCTATTTATCTTATGAGATACATAACTTCAGGAAAAACGATTTACTGCTGACACTAACAGGTTAAACTGGATATCTGACTTTAGACACAAAAAGACTTCGAATAGTTAACGGCTGACTAATAAGTTAGCTCCGCCCCGCACAGAATTTGATTGGAGCCTTTGTATTACGTCATTTTCGACTCACTGCCGGTATTTTCGGCACTAATGATAACGGTTATTTTAGCGGTCCATGATTGGACCGTGACCAAAGGAGGTTGGCAGTATAGGGATATATAAAACAGACTGAAGTGAGCCACTTCAATTCTGACCCCTGACGAAGGTGCATGCCTTAGCACTGAAACGCGCGTCGGGTTTTTCCGTTTCTATTTCTTATCACTGTCACATTGGGGCACTTTCACTCCTATCATGTGCAGGCAGCCAACACTCTAAGTATGGCTATGCACATATTTTAACAATTTTCTAAACCTCCCTAACTGTCCTGATCTTTACACTCTATCTGTAATCTAAGTAGGAGTAATGAATAGACATATGGATACTATATTATTATAACTTCCTGCTTACAAGGTACAACGGTGATTAGATACAGTGTTATACTCTATCACAGAGTTATTTGTACAATACTTTCTGGATGTATTAAGTTTTATGCACTGATTTCTTTACTCGTTCCATATTCCAAGCAAGAGTAACAACCAGACAATAGGATACCATATTGTTATATCCTATTAACAAGGTCTAAACTTGAAATAGATTTAGTGTTACATTCTATTATAAAGTTTTCTATGCAACCTACTGGACATATCAGCTATTTAACAGCAATTTATGACTGACTCTTGTTTTAGAGCACTATATATATATATTCGAGATTTAATCAGTGCACTAATAGATTACTTTTGTCTGCCTCATCAGAGATACATTTCCAGAACCAGGACATTTTTTCTACTACTATTTTTACATTACCAGGACCATATAATATAGACTGTGACCTATTCAGTTTTATTAAAGTCAAATAGTCATGAGATATATTTTTTCTATCATAGTAGATGATGAGGGAGGTATAACCTTTTTCGGTTGGAAACACTATTTAGAGGTTTTTTGGTTCACTACAACTTAGGTTAACATTTTGAAGAGGAATGTATAAGACATAATTATCTTCATCTATATTATTATTATTATTCCAGTTTTAAGCTTAGTTTGCTGGACTAGGTTTTCCAACGCCTAAGCTTATTTGTTTTTTCATACACTATATCGTATAGGGGTTAA